CACATACGCGTTTACCATTTCCAGTTTCTTATTGGCCAGTGATTCGATCATCATATTGTTGCTATCCGGATCGGGATTTTCTCGCATGGACGCACGGCAGCTAACGGTTAGCAGAATCCGGATCCTGCTAACAGTTAGCTGCCGTGTGAGAACATAGCCGTAAACACGTGCGTTTGTGGGACACGCGTGTATCCTTGGCGCTTTTCTAATTGGTTGATTGACATTCCAGAAAGGTTCATAGGTATTGAAAGATGGGTATGAAAAGAGGCCTACCAAATGAGATAATTTAGTTGATGTGTGAGCTAAAAGTTTCGTTGTCCAAATACAGTGAAATACATTCATTGCATTTTACATTGCACAGACATCACGATATTAAAATATATGAAAAATTGTGTTAAAACATTAATGTACAGAATCACAAGATATAGGTTATGTTACATTGCATGAAGGGCTAGGCCATAGGAGACAACAAAAAAGATGTAGACAGAGAGTTATGTTAAAAGTAACATTAACATAATATAACTATATAACGCGTTTCGATATATAATATCTTTTAATGGATGTTATTCTACTAGTACGTAAATAATCACAAGTACCGAACAACGTACGTAGAGTCTAGTAGTTTATTGCAGAATTAATTCAAAAAATAAATAATATGTTCACAAGAATACAGGATATTGATGATAATGAGGTGTTACTATAACTCAAGTGAAATTTTAATTATATTAGGGAATATATAGAGCAGGATAGGGCTACATCATTCTTATGGTATGATAATAGAAAGGTTCGCTCTCCAAATCGAGACCACTTTGGGTGTTAGGGTTTATTAAACTCACTGCTGGCGTGTGTGGCTGCTAAAGTATAACTGTGACTTACATGGAATTGTAACAGTCTTTTCAACTTCTTTGCTAATGGAATCCTGCGCCATCATTATAACGGCTACCTTGTAAGTCTGTCCTGGGAGAAATCCACGAATGCAGTCAAAATGAAATGACATCTATAAAGATTATGACGAAAGATATGTTTATAAAAGTAACATTAAAATCTGCACGAAATTAACACATCAGACCTGATTTGAATATTGGTGAAATGATCAGTGTAGTGACCTAGGACTTTTAACTGTACCTGTTAAAAGTCCTTGTAATGAAAAAACATCCAGCCTATTAACTTATGATAACGCTATACTATGTGTAATGTCCACCGATATACGGTAGTAATAATTTGTGTTGATGGTGGGGGGGGGCGGTGCCGTGTTGTTGAACCTCGATATCACATCATAAATCTTTGTCCAAGCTATTGTTCGGTTTATGCTACAAATATGTGTGTGATTTATCCATATATGGGCATGGTGATCATCATATCTATTATATGGGTCATTTACAAATTTTTGTTACAATACTATAATAAGCCTATATGTATAGTTGTTTTTTGTTTGTTTGTTTGTTTGGTTTTTTTTTTGGTTTAGGGCTTGGTTTTGGTTTTTTGCAAATACTGACTGACTTTAGAATTTTGGGCTTGAGAGACGAGTATCTAATTACCAGGATACAAAAAGATTAAATTGCAAGTAACATACCGAAACTGCCTCGAATGTCTTCATAATCAGAATATCGTAGATTTTAAGAGGTTCGTTGAAGTTTATGTAGAAGCAATGTGTGTTTTGCTTAGATGTTAATTTAATCAATATTCCACGATACTCGTTTTTCTCCGCTATTTCAAAATAAAATGAAATATTAAAGAACGGATTGTTACAATTAATACAAAGTTTTAGATGAATTCATCCCTAGAGGGCGATGTTCACATTTATTTAAAAAGTCAAAAAATCAAAGTATCAAAAAATGTTTAAACAAAAATATGGTAAACATATTTTATAACATTTAATCATACTGGTCATACAGTCCCGTAAAATGGAGCAAATGCAACAGGGTACAGTGACGCACATAAACACGAATAGTATAGTGAATGTTGTTTGGTTTATTGGGAATTTTGAGTTGAAAGATATACTGTTCCATTTAGCGAGACAGGAAATAAAAACTAAATCATAACAGAAAATAATGTATTCATCTTAAACCATATAATTACGTATATATCTATCTCTCAGGGGGTTTTTTTGTGGGGGGACACCAATTGGGGACTAGCATTCGGCACGATAACATGTCAGACAAGGCAATAACACTTTTGCAAAAATTGGAACTGCACTGTTTAAGGTTTACTGTTTTTGATTGTTTATTGTGTTGCAAGTTTCTTCTTTTACTGATTAGAGGAAAGGTAGGAATAAATTTATTTTTCACAAATACCGGTATCAAATGACAAGGATCTGTTCTTGAGGTGTTATAAAAACAAATAATGAATGTTGTATTTGCAGGGGTCTCGAGTTGGAAGAAATCCCTTCCGGGATATCTCAGTAACGGATCCAGGAATTTGAAATAGAAGGGGCCCAGGGAGGGACTTCAACAAATGGAGGGTCTAACCCGTGGTGGGGTTGAGGTAAGGTAATTTTTTATTATTGCGGTACCTCTAGATAGCCGGAATATCCATCTTAAACCATATTATTACGTATATTATATCTAGGCCCTATCTCTCAGGAGTGGATTCATGATGTATTTTTTTGTAGAGGGGAGGCGTTGGAGGGATACCAATTGAGGACTTGTGGTCCGGGGAAGGGTATAGGAAGAGGGTTCTCTTGTCTATATCTGAAAGATAATGCTGAATTAAACATTATCTAGCCAGGCGCTACACTCAGACTATAATGTTAGGGGAGGCGCTCCTGTTTCGCCAACTCATGGATCCATCACTGTATCCTTGTTTATAAAAAAATGTATAGTTAATGAAGGAACAAAGATCTAAGGTTCTTACCATCTGTTGGAAGTTGAAATGATATATTCAGACCAATGATTTTCTCAGCATTTTTATTCAAACTAATGAACCGGGTGATATTTTGTATATTTACTTCGGAATTGGTTCGATGTCGTCTGCTTTCGCCACTCTCGAATATGTTTGAACAAACCGCTAGGTAAGAATGGAATACCAATTTAAAATTTAATTTCAAAACAATATCAATTAAGTAGTCAATAAACATTACATCAGTGAGTGAGTGAGTGAATGAGTGAGTGAGTTAGTGAGTCAGTGAGTGAGTGAGTGAGTGAGTCAGTCAGTCAGTCAGTTAGTCAGCCAAATAATCTACATTCAGGAATTCAGTCAACAAGGCCATCAACATAGAAAATACAAAAATACAGCAATTTTAGACCTGAATGTAATTAGGCCTGTTGCCAATGCAAATTGAAAAGCAATGTACCACCACACCAGGCCCACTTATCATAGAATATTAAGACTTTGCAATGTTAATAGTCGCTTGTAATTTGCTAATGACGTAATTGAGATTGTTTCTATTGTGTTGAATAAACTGGAGGCCGTGGGGTCGATTCCCACCCGATGCACTTGCGAGATTTTTTTTTTCGATTGGGAACGTACTGAGCTTTCAGGTAGAGCACAAACGTCATTCGTATTATGTCTGTTTTTTTAGTTATTCAACTTTATTTACCGAGGGTGACCCAAAACAGCTGTTGCTTACGATCATTGGGCCCTCACATAAATTATTACAGTTCACAAAATTCACAGTCACAAAAGCTAAACAGAAAAATTAAATGAGAGAACAATACAGTTCATAAAAAATGAATATCGATGAAAAGTGTATGTACAATGAATAGAAAACGCATTAAAAAAAACTCAATAAGATATAAGATTATTAAAATAATAAATCTCAAAAATTTAGCTTACTGCGCATTAAATAATTATAATAGAAAAATATGTATCAAAAATCAATCAAAGTTTAGTAGTCAGAAAACGCCGTCGAAAATGTATTACAGTACCCGCTGCTACTTTTGATCATATTCATCACTAAGCGAAAGCTCGGTGGTCTAGTGGTTAATCCACGTCAGTTTTGTTATCTGCAGGTCGTAGGTACGATTCCCAGTCTGCGATATTTTTCGCAAGTATTTTGGAACGTAATGAGCATTCAGTACTACGATAACACGTCAGCAAGTCCCGTGGTGGGGTTGAAGTAAGAACATTTTTTTTTATTGTGTTAACTCTAGATGGCCGGAAACGCTACTCTCAGACTTAACTTTGAATATTATTTTCTACTTTTCTCCATTTTTTTTAATAACTGAAAACTGAATTTGTTTAAATGAGATTTCTTAACATATTCAATTTTATTTTGCTGCGCAGGGTGATACCATTCGAAACTGGCTTCCATGAGAAAACTGATAATAATGTAGTAATAATATGCATATATTATGAATTTATGGAAGGCCATCCCGATTTTTGGGGACTCCAGCGACTTCCGGGAGACTTAGGACCTCTGTTTGTGCAATGGGAAGATTTTTTTTGAAAGATTGACTATGCAATTCCACTGTTCTCTGCCTCGTTGAACAAAAAAGAAAAAAAAGAAGGAAGGAAAAAGAAATAATTGATCACCCCAAAACGCCTTAGAGGAAAACAAAAATTTCGTAGGAGAACTCCCGTACCCCACACAGTAGTGTTGTCTCGATCGGTGACATTTTCGACCCCCTTTCGGTCCAATTTCGGACATCACTGGATTCGCCACTGAACAGAACAGTAAATCAGTTAACTTATGAAAATATTCTTCCCCATTGCACTCATAAAACATTCATTATTTGTATACCGATACATAAAATCATATAGAAAGTAATACGAAATATCCAGCATAACATAACCAGTTAGCTCAGCGTTGTCAGGTGAATTTACCGGACACTGTCATGCAAGGTAAACACTGGACATCACTCACCTCTTTCGCCAGACGCTTCTTCTTCGAACGTACATGACTTTGTATCATTGTTGATAGTCTGAAAATAAATAATGTGAAAAGCATGCAGTACGTAGGCTTAGCTGCATCATCGTAAATGTTCAGATAAACATTTTACTCAAATGGAGATGATGATGATGATGATCATTATCATTATTAATATTTGAATATTCATATTAGGCCAATTATATACCTAAAAGCGAGCCTGCCATGGAATACAAAAAGGATGCCTATGTTTAAAGCTAATTAAACCAAGTCTCGATGGAGTAATCTCTCCCCGTTTGGAACACCTAATGTGATACGTCGCTGCATTTGATACATTATCTCAAACATTACGACATAAAGATATTGCATAGTATTTTAATTAGGCCAATTTTTAAACTCTTAAGCCGGGCGCACGCTCTGCCAGACGGTCGTCGGCCGACGCGATTCTCTGGAGAACGCAACCCCAAGATGCGCTCGCAACGTACGGTATCATTTTTTTAATGACCATCCTTTCAGACTTCTACCGATAATCAGGAGACGGCATCGCATCGTCTAGCGCCCACAGGAAGCGGGGTTGGATTCGTCGTACGACATAGTGAGTGCCCGAATTTATTCCATCTGGCTATTTAAAGTTTCCGGATGAGGGCGGGAAATGTAGAGCCCATGTAGCTCACATACATGTTTAACATTTCAATATATATAAATCAACAAACTTTATAAAACTCGTGATGAAGGAATCGAAACTGAATGGAAGGCTTATGTAAATAATACTAATAATGTAAATGTTTACTAAGGTATCAACATTCCACAAAATATCCTGGTCAATTGTTAACTAAATTGATACATCAATACAACTCGTTTCATTTAATTCAATAAGTTGTTCACCTTACCGGCAAGGCGAAAGGTAAGGTATCAATGATGACAAATTTTCAATATCGCTTACGGTTTTGCCTTACGTACAAGTGAATAGTTTATTGCAATATATATATGCAAACTTTATTTCAAAAATGGTATAAATAATATACCTGATGATGACATAATTAATGTCGAAATATTGAATCCCGACACGATGGCGTGCATTTCGATACTTGGAGTATGTACCGTATTATACTATCTTATCTGAGATTAATCAGTGTACCTTTCGGTTTTCTTCCCCTGGATTTGTGATAAATCGTTAATATCACGCATAAACTTGTTTTAGGATCACGAATGTGTTTCTGCAAAATGTGTGTTTCATCCAAAATGACTTTGAAATGCGGGACCGTCCCGCACGATGCGAGACGGTTAGTAACTATGTGTTTAACATCAGAAATACTATCAAGCATTGTCCCTAGTAATTTATGGTTTCGCCATTCTTCGGACTTAAGTTCGTTTGTCTTGTCAATATAAAAATGAGTAAATTCAGTTTTTGTTGTGTTAAAATACAAACTCCACTGCCTGAAAGTACTATTAGCTACAGCTAACATTTTATCTATGCCTAATTTGTTTTTTTCTTCGTCTATTAAATCAATGTCATCTGCATCCTTACATTCCAATGGTATACAATTATAAGCTATAGGTGGATTTGTAATAAGTACGTACTACTATTACCACTACCATTACTGCCATCACCACTACACTGCAATGCCTATTATAAGAAGATATTTTGGAAGATAAGCACTGTTGGATTCGTTCCGTAAGAACAGATTGTGTTGACAGACCAAAACAGGGGTGGCGTCAGTGGAGGCTGGAGGGCCAGGGCCTCGTCGGGGAGCGCTGGGGGAGGAAAACCACAATTCGTCGGGGATAAAAAAAATTAGGCCTATATGTATTTTCTACACATAAAATCGATTGTCACATTTTTCGCAGGCTTCGCCCCTTGACCACTTTCGAACATTTTGACGCTCGACCACGCCCACATTGCTTTTGTCAGAATATCGCCCTCCCCCATCGGGGACCTCGGAATCTCCGTCAAGAGAACCCTGGCGCCACCCCTGGACCTAACACTTTTTAACCTTGTATGCTTGTCAGAACACAAACATATACACACCAAAGAATTTTCAAATCATTTTAAATAATAAATGAAAAAGTGAAGGTACATATTATCGAGTCGAATATCATTGCAATAACTCCGGTCCTGCTGCTCATTTTCACTGTGTACAACACGTTAAAGAACAGAACACAGATTTCGGGAAAGAGTAGAAGTGTGTCTTCCGGTGCAATGCCCACAGGGATGGTACTGCAATAAATTTACCACTAGTCTCCAAGGAAAAAGCTCGAATTTTCTAGTTACCTCAACTGTATGATACAGTATGACCAATACGTTACCTTACCTTATCAAGGTTGAAGCTCTCAATTACATTTAGATAAGGTGAGACTCTTTTATGCCCTGTTTAGCGAACCCACCGCCCGCCAATAATGATGATTTCGAATACAAATACAATTTTATTTTTGGGCAATTAGCGTACCCGCCGCCACGAAAAAAAAAATATGTATGGTATATTTCTTCCTAATTATGTAAGAGCATTAAACCATCCCACTACACTATTCAACAATAACATTTTTTAAATTTTCCTCTCCGTCTAGATGTTTTTGGAAAAACCATTTGCTAAATAAGAAAACCAAAATTTTATTTTTATTTTTCCTCTCTCCTATGACGACCTTTAAAAAAATAAGTTCGCGAAACAAGCTATATAAAAAATTCTCTCTTAATGACGCGTGTACCGTATGTTTTTGAGTTAGGAAAACTCTATCAATAATATATTTTTCATTTCAAGCAAAACACAACGATTAACATTGGAATAATCAGTACCAAAAATAGCGCATGTCGATATGTCAATTTTATGCCAGCAATACGATGTTATAACACTGCATTACCTACCTTCCAGGAGCAGTCTTGGGGACAAGACCAGAAGACAGCTTCGAGGCGTACGAAAGTTAAACATGCGATTACGAGAAACAGGCCTACCATCATATCAGTACGTCATCTAGAAGGCAATAGCTTCATATAACTCAATCATCATGTCACGAACAACAATGTCAACGTTTTCTGTAGAATTACGTGTAGAATCGTTAAAATATGCAGTTGTTGTTCTGAAAACATGAAGTGAACTGCAAACCAAACCACGGTACCTTCAAGACTATGACACTTTGAATGGAAAAATAAGAGCTATTCAAGAATTCACGGTGGTTTGGAGGTGAACAGTACGAATTAATAGACAGCGTTGAATAGAGCTTCGGGTTGAATAAATATACGGATCCGCTGGAATTAGAATATCTAATTTAAAATTTCTTTACCACACCTAACATTGTTCATGTTTCGGCTTACTTTCTTTTTAACATTATCGTCGTGCATATTGAGAAATTAATTTTTGTAGCAACGGTGCGCATGTTGTGAGAGTTGCGCATAGGCCTAAGCTTAGACCGGAATTACTTTTACGATATCATCATGTCATCATAAAGAGGATGAGTTGTGTTATTCAGGGGCCATTCATTATTTTCATAACTTTAGCAATTGCATATTTATCATATATTTATTATATATAGGTTTATATATAGGCTATATAATGCACAAACAACAACCCCGATAATAATAATAATATATGAATTATACGAACAAGAAACATGAGAAATCTGACTAACAAACAAACGTCCACCAAGACTTCAACCCGGTGCATTTGTATATATTATGGCGAAAGTCATAATTAGCACCATGCCACGCCTTTGTGGTTTCAATGAAAACTGCCAGTAGAAATGGAAAGCTTTCCTTATATTATGTTAACGTGTTGGACATCACAATATTTGAATAACACTATTTATCGCATGGACGAGACGGCAGGAGATGTAGTTTATATCTTTCCTCCTCCATGTGTAGACAAATTCGTGTCCACAGGATGTTATTGCATGCAATTTTCTGCAGGCATTTCTGCATACATATGTAGAGACTGTACGAATACTCCCCGTGGAAAACGTAACCCTCAGACGTTGTAAGTTCATTTTTGGATACGATTCAGTAATTTACAAAAAGATTGGTTTTTAAATATTCATTAGGTGTAAATCCATTCCGGATAAGAGATTGTTTACCCTAACGCTTCAGGGAATCTCAGTGCAACACACGCATACCCACAGAGATACATGTTGCTCTTATAATATTTTCAACTGTCTGTATCTTATCATGTATCAGATTTGTGGTATTGGAAGCACGTTGTACATTCCATCAAAGCTTTTGAATCCCAACGGGTCGTATGTTCGAATCCACTCAACGAGTAATTATCCAGTTATTAGGCCTATGTGTAGTTTAACTCAATTGTTATTAGTAATAGGCACATATATATCTTCTTCGTTCGAAAGAAATAAGTATCGGCCTGAAAATGATACGGTGGTAATGGTGATGATATTGATGATGATGATGATGATGATGATAATGATGATGATGATGGTGACGGTAATAGATGATGATAATGATGATGATTATGATGACGATGATAATGAATGATGATGATGTGTGACAGGCGGATCCAGAAATGTCCGAAAGGGAGGCCGATCGAGAGACGACACTACCCTAGGGAAACGTTTATTTTCTATACGTCCGGAAATGACTTATAAGGCGTTTTAGTCGATCAATAATAATTCTTTCTTTCTTTCTTCCTTTTTCTTTCTTTCTTTCTTTTTTTACTTTTAAAAAAGGCCGTGGGTGGTGTACATCTCCCTGGTGTAAGTGACATAAATCCTCCTTCGGATGATGATGACGAATTAATTAAATGATCCTTGCTGCTGAAATTCGGTGTAAGTACACATTACCTCCAAGCTTGAATTATTGAAAAATGCAAATTTCTTGTACAAACGAGCATACACAGGGCTATCATAACATCTTTGTTAAATTTCTATATAACGTCGAGTAGCGTAAATAACACATGATTATTTGCTTAGCATATCAGCCTTATTAAACAAGCACAAAATAAAACAGAACACATGGTTTAGAAAAAAAAGAAAAGAAAGAAGGAAAAAAAAAGAAAAACTCCAAGGTTTAATTACAATGTCACAAAATTTTATTTTTATTACGATTAAAAAATACATAAATTTTAGTTTTATCCAACCATTATTGATATTGCTGTGACGTGTTTTCTTGACATGCTAATAAGCCAATTCGTAGTTATAACTGCACATGCTCGTATCAATGCCAATCGATGTAAACACCATTCACATAACATAGGTTTATGTCGATGGATACGGGCATGCGCAGTTCCAACCACGAATTGGCTTATTTGCAAATGATTTTCTGAGCGACAATTGCCTCTTCACCGGATCCTATATAACTAAACACGTCAGAAAAAGTAAAGGCCGGTTTAAATTTATATAGATACTTTTATACACTATACGACACACATAAACATAAAACTTTAACAAATATGGATCAGGGTTACTATAAAAATGTATATTCTTACAAATGTCATAGGCGATAGCGGAATATAAAATTCATATATCTTATGTTAAATATTCATTATCGTAAGTTATTTTTAAAACTATGGACCCATTTAAGGTACTTAGACACCTCACAATGACCTGTCTCTTATACACATCTAGATGTGTATAAGAGACAGCCCACAGAGATACATGTTGCTCTNNNNAGATGAGGAAATCTTCCCCGACTCGGGTATCCAGCTATCCTTTATATTTAAGCCCTGTGTATTAGCTGATTAGATGTGTTATCGGTTTTCGCCATCTCACAGATCAAAATAAACATAAAAAACGCATACATAAATTTACTTTATCTTTGGCTCACGATATCAAAATCCGGAAAGAAAAGTCAAATTGTATTGTGATTTAGCGTTATGTAAATATTGACGTATTTCACGTTACATTACAAGTACATAACAACGGGGTGTAGATTGTCAAATATGTTCCTATATAAAAGCATAATTTAATAGTACAGTTGATGCACAAACATATTTAAACATTTAATTTAGGTCTACTCAACGGTTTTCGGCAGTTTCTGCAGATAGTTTTAGTGTCCGTGTAAAAATATAGGTACCGTATTTATAAATTTATCTGAATATTAAGTTGTCGCTTATGGTTTGCGTAGTGACGTATCTAGCAGTATTGAAATGAGGGCAGGGGCGGCACCAGGAATTCCCCGACAAGGGGTTCAAGCTCCCCGACTAGGGGACCAACCCTCACCCCCCCCCCTTGCCGGGGAAAAATCGTGTTGATTTGATAGAAAACCATGCAAGTTAAAAGGCGCCCTGTCGAGGGTACTAACCGTCTGTCGGAGGTACAATCCCCCTGCCGGGGAAGATCTGACGCTGCCACTGCAACCCATACGATCGGATAGTATACAACACCTCGTACATACGGTTTTAATCCCTAAAGTTTGACAGATAAGTAAGGCATGCATACCTAAATTGTACTTTCGGCGGTCGAGATTTCATTTTTCCCCGACGACCTTTGCTGGAAATTCCTCGACAGAGGATCCAAGCGGTGGGACCAGAGGTCCCCGACGGAGGTCCTTTGCCCTCCTGGACCCCACCCCCCTCTAGCGCCGCCCCTGAATGAGGGTAAAGAGGTGAGGGGCACTACCCGGCAAAATAATGTGATTTTAACTACCTTCAGGCATGGGGTCAATTACAGTGAAAACGTAATTAATCATAAATTGCAATTACTCTATTTTTCCAATTACATTACAATTATAATTAAATCTTTTTCCCCATTACAATAACGATTACATTTTCTCAATTAAGATTACAATTACATTTCCATTTTGATGTTTGGAGAAAATCACATAGGCCTATTAAAAAAAAAAAAAAAATTTCAATCAATCACCCTAATACATCAAACATATACGTAGGAGTAGGTACATAGTTTGTAATAGTAGGCCTAATAACATTTGCTTCAGTAAAGAAATTTCTTTCTGGTATGGTGTAGCTATTTTAATAAAAAAAACAAATCTAAAATATGAAAGCATAAACTGTATAAATAAACAAACCCTAACTGTTTAAGGTTTAGTCATATGAACATGTGGAGTGTGGAATTACTACAGGACTCTTTCGTATTGGGAAAGGAAGATTGCTATTTTATACCATAGCTGATTAAATTCCATCTAAATTTACATATTCTAGTTACTTTTAAAATGTCATGAAACAATAAAGAATTATAATAATAAACATATCGGTGGCTTTCTTTTTATTTTTAGATAACGCGTTTTTCTGAAAAACGACTTTAAATTTTTTTTAATTTAAACCTATTTTAATGAATTCTGTATCGCTAAGCTCCGCCTTATGAATCTGACCCGCATTTGACCTTTACCGGATATGACATACACTCGGTACAACAAAACACAGGATTTTCGCGGGATCGCGACTCTTGGCAACACAAACGTAGGCCTATTAAATAGTAGGATTCTATCTGTACTGTACTGGTTGTAACAGCCGTTCTAAAGAGAGACTTTTGCCAACTTTAATAGCTTTAGTACTTTAATTAAAATGATAATAAATATTAAATTTGAGGAAAAACCTGATCGTAATCGCGATTTGACTCAAATACCTTCTGCTTACTGTTGACTATTATGAGGCCAAGTGGTATAAACCCTTGGATTATACTGTATACGGATAGTTTTTCCTCATTATTAAATAACCAAGTGCAATAACCGTAGTATTTTGCAACTCAGGCATATTAGGTTGGTTGTGGTTTTTGAGTATGAATTATTATGGTTTATTTGGGATACTCAAAAATTAAGATCTTCAGGTACTGCTTAACCATTGACATTCTCAGTAAAATTAGCTTTATACGGTATTCAGTAGGGACTTATCGCCTATATTAGGCAGTACATCCTATTTTAAAGCAAATTAACAACTCCTTGGTTTTTGATTATGTGAAATAACAAACTTTAGGGAATAGTTTACAGTTGGATAAACTCTTGACACCAACAGTTAAATTCTGAATAAGCAATAAAATAGATGAGTTTTTGTGCTGTCCAGTGCATGTCACTTTGAGATTTTGATAAAAAAAAAACAAAAAACAAAAAACAAACAGTTTTGAAATGTAATCACATGTAATTGCCATGATTAAAATCACAATTTTACAATTTACACAAAGTACAAATTAGATTTTCGAGCCGAATTACAAATTACACCCAATTACAAAAATTAAAAATGTATTGATTACAATATTGATTACAAT